AGTGGCTGGTGGATTTCATCTGCTGACTTTGCCGTTAGCAGTCCAGATGTTATACTAAAAAGGCCAAGAAAAGTTATAATTTTCATAATTTATCTTTAGCATAATAATTACTTTTCTAACCTCCATAATTCTAAGTACAAACATACTTTTAATTTTCCTTAGATTGTAGTTGTTAGTTTCTGTTAAGTCAGTTCTGACTTACGGTGACCACAAGTGTGCCAGAGTAGAACTGCTTCACAGGTTCTTAAGGCTGTGACAACCTTTTAGAAGCAGATTACTAGGTAGCTTGAACAGCCAATTCTTTGGTTAGTGCTTAACTATTTACAAGACCCAGGGACTTATAGTTTGGATTAGGGTACTTTAAAAGGCTTTGTGTAAAGTTATATAAATTCACTGTATAAAGTGTTTATGTTCCTGTTACCCATCATATTTAATAAATTATATATATATATATATATGCCTGTAATCAAGCTCTTTCTAAACTTTATCTACATTACATAACTATTAGTTACACTAGGATTTACTGTAATTCTGTTTTTGCTACACTGCATTTCATAGAACTTTGTTAGTATTATACACACACAAAAACATACTTGATCCATGACCAAATATATTTGGAAAACATTATCTATTGTATGTCCATCTGGGATATTATAAAATATATTAAAGAATCTGAACTATCCTGAGGTACATAAAGCTGTTTAATATAGAATATTGTTTCACAGCCCTATTAGAATTCAGGGGAAACAGCACTTTTTAGATTTCAGTTTGGTGAAAGAAAACAAAAACAGTTGATGCCAAGTAGATTTTGACTCATGAAAACCTTGTGTGCTTTAGAGTAGAACTGAGCTTCACAGGGTTTCAATGGCTGTGATCTTTCAAATGCCAGGCTTATCTTCCAAGGTACCTCTTAGTGAATCAACCCTTCAGTTCAGTGAAAACTGCAGTAATCACTTACATATATGAATATCATTAAAAATATAGAATGTAGAATTATAGTGTGTTCTTCTGATTTTTCATAATTAGTGAGAAGATGCAGGATTATATTCTTTAAGGGTCTTAGAACTCAGAAACCATGTTGATGAGTCTGGAGGCCATTGATTACACATTAGAAAACAATCTATTTGCACCTTTTGATCCTCTTTTTATTTATTTATTGTTAAATTGTATAGCAACCCAAATCAAATCTTCTTTGTTTGAAGAGAATCTTTCTGCCTTCTTATGTTGTCTCAGCACTAGCAACTTCATCTTGTAATTGGTATCTGAAAGGCATATCTGCCTTAACGATGTATAAATCAAGTAGACATATGCTGGTTCAATCAATCTTCAGTCCTCCATTATGTTCACTATTTTGAGTCATTTGAAATTACTTAGCATTATCAAAAAGATTCAAAGTACTAACTAGAATGATGGCAACACTTAAAGGCATCTGCCTTTGGACTTCCCTCTGCTTCATCAAAAATAGATCCTCCTGTTTAGATAGATGGAAGTTCTCTATTAATAGTGAATCCTGTTACTAGAGTATATGTGGCTTTATCTAGTTCTAAAGATTTTAACAAATGGCATCAAGATAGAGGATGAGCTATGATTAGACACAGTGACTGTTCTATACTTAAATATACCAGGGTCTATTCATATACAAAATGACTATTGCCTAATAGTCATCTTAGGAGACTTTTCTAACTCTGGTGGTCCTCCCATAAATAACAATAGTATTGGCACTTGCTCAGAATTATCTTTAAACAGTTTCCCATGTATATATAAAATTCAGTAAGTTGCTTTTAGTCATGAGTCATTCTTTCAATTCCCTTCTGCCTTTCCTTTACCCTTCTGATTAGATCTTTCCTTACCATTTTCCTTTATTCTTTATATTTTATCCACTAGTTCATGTGTCTCCTGAGAGAGGCTATCTTAATACTAGACAGAGGCAGGTGATCCCAGACAGAAGGACTTTACTGGGTTGATGTGACTGTAAGACCAGAGGATAGATTATGGTTCTTAATCAGGTGTGTACAAAAGTCACTCATGGAGTGTAGATCTGATGTGTTCTTAGAATCAACTCTGTGAGACCTAGAAAAGTAGGGACTTTCCACCCCCATTACCATTACCTTTTGATTCGGCTGATTCATCATAAACAGAATCATCTGTTGAACCCCTAACTACTAGGCACATTTGGAGGAACTGTAGGGAAGACAAGAAAGCGTATAAGCAGGTTTTAGAGCTATAACACTTAACCTTGGCTGCATATTAGAATTACATACGGTGACATTAACACACAGAACAGATAAGCATATGTCCTAACTGCAGCCTTGGAAGATTTTGATTCAGGTTTCATGTGGTGTGGAACCCAGAGATCTATATTTTTTAAAAGCTCTATAAGTGATTCAGATTCCTTGGATGAAACCAAATAGGACATATTAGGGGCATATTAACAGATGGAGTGTATTAGGAGTCGTATTTGTGTAATCTCTGCTATTGTCAAGTTCCATAGCAATACTATCTAGACAGTACCTTAAATTGAACCATGAAGTAATAGAGCTGGAAATCATTATGCCCTATAATTGTTATTATTTCACAGATATGTTTTGATCATTGGATTTAATAAATGTTTTTCCTTCTTACTGTGTACCTAAAGTACTGTGTACTTTAAATTTCATGCTATTTTGTTTAGATAGGATTCTTCTGGTCATTTTCACCTAGTGTGATGTGAAAACATCACATTTAGAGCATTTCTTTTAAAACAGCATATATACAAAAGCTTGGCTTTTGGGGTACTCGTGTGTGGCATGAAAACTCTCTGGACTACTCTGAAGATCCTGTAGCTAAACAGCAAACTAAAGAAATGTGGAAAGTCTTCAAACCAGTACTGTGACAGCAATGAACATGTTTTAAAGAGATAAATAAATACCATCCGACTCATTTGTATACGTTTTTGTAATGTTGCTATATGCTTTTGTTAATACTATACTCAAAAACACAATAAATAATAAAGAAATGCTTTGTATGGATTTGAAAAAGACATATACATATTAATATATTTGTGCTCCAGTAACAGAAAGGTTCATGACATCCCAAAGTGAGGCAAAGTGGGCCTGAAACTGCCACCTCCATGGAACTCGGTGAGCAGCCAGTCTCCTAATGACCTCAAAGGAAGCCCCAATCCTAGGGTACTCGCCAGACCTGGAGGGCAGAGCAGTTTCCCCAGTTTTCAGGGGTGAGAGTGGAGCCCGGAAGGCAACTCTGAGAGGAAAGGTCTGAAGCAGCACAGGAGCAAGGTACAGTTTAAGGCCTGGCCCCTCCAGTCACATAGACTGGTTTTATCCGGTTTAGTCTCCAAGTCTTCTCCACAGAGGAATAAGCCACAACTGGATTTATCCTACTGAATCTTAAACTGATATTTCTATGATCATATTTTCTAAATTTAAATAATTGGATAAATGGATGGTCTGTCTGAAAACAGAAAAAAAAAAAAAATCCTCCATTTTCAAATACAAATTTTCACATAATGTCCTGGTCTTTGGATACTTGAGAAGTGGGTGTATTTTGAATTAGTTGGTTGTTATTGTTAAGTGCCATTGAGTCAGTTCTGACCCATAGCAACCCTGTATAGGGTTTCTGAGGAGTAGCTGGTAAGCTTGAACCTCCAACCTTGCAGTTCAAATTGACTCTGCAGACCAGCGTATTCACCCACTGCATCACACGAGGACTCCAAAGTAGTTGGTTAGAAATACTTAATATTGACCTATTTTTATGAGGTTATATCTGAACTTTTTCAATAGGAATAATTTGGTGTGGAGTCTGTTCTATGCATTGCCATTTCCCACACTAATCATCATTCATTCCTTTATTATGGACATTTCTAATTTACTTTTTGGTCAGTTTTCTTTTTATGGCCATTTTTTTTTTTTTTACATCTGCATTTTATTCTTAATTATCTAACTACATCAATTGGTTTTTCAATTAATGTTCCTCTTTCTAAAAAAGAAATTTTGTACAAAAATTTATATAATCAAAAGTCTCAGTTCTCTTTCTCAAGGCTATGATGAATAATATTTGGCTGCATTTATACTGTTATTTTTGTTGTTAAGTGCGAGTGAGTTGGTTCCAACTCACAGCAACCTGTATAGGGTACAGCTAGTGGGTTTCAACAGCCAACCTTGCAATTAGCAGTCTTACATTACAGTGCTTATACTATAGTACCACACCAGGACTCCCCATTTATATTGTTGTTTAGTGCTGTTGAGTGGGTTCTGACTTATACTGACTCTGTATAGGGTTCCCAAGGAGCAGCTGTGGGTTTGAACTGAACCTACAGCACCACACCAGAAGTCTTGTTTCTGTAAATCCTTATATTAAAATGGTGCATCCTTGAATTCTGGATTTTTATAAAGTCTGTCTTCCCTATATATCACACTCACCCATGCAAACTGGAAAAAATGATTCTGAGACTACTATATTTCTACTTATACAAATCTTTATGTAAAAACAACAATTTTTTCACAGTATATGCTAAATCACTATTGTTTTTATATTTCTAAAATAAAAATTTTTTAATTATTTGATACTAATCCCTGCATGCTTTAAATAGCAAGTCAATTATCTCAATTCTTTTAGATTTTTGAATAAATTTTAATTAAAATATAATACACAAATTAAGTATTTACATGTAAAATTTATTGAAATATTACATGAATTTTATTATAATTAGATTTTACAGTCATGATAGCTACAAATTGAAAATGAAAAATAATAACATATGCTATATAATAGTATGTAATACTTGAAATATGCTATATAATAGTATGTAATACTTCAAAAACAAATAGCCACCATTTTGCTTTATGTTACATCTAATATTTCATAAAACACTTTTTATAACCCATATAAGAAATAAATAATATAAACATTAAAATTCAAATAAAACATTACCAAAGAGAAAAATGGCTGAACAAGTCTGTTCAAATATGTAAAAATTTTAACAAACTTTTAAATTGGCATACCTATTTGACATTGTAAAGTTGTATTAATTTTCTTCTGTGCCAGTTCTGCTTTCAATATGCGTAAATCTGAAACTGCTTGTTTTCTCATCTATAAAGAGAACTTTAAAATGAGTCTCATCTTAACCCTCATTTCCATGCTTCATAATTTTCATGTAAATTATATATTTAAAAAAATGCTTTGTCTTCTCTCTTTTGCTGTCAGCACCTTTACTAGTACTGATTACCTCAGTAATTATAGTAGTAAAGACTGAAGTTATATGTCATAATACTATTTAATAAGAAAGCTTATTTACTGCTAGATATGCTGTCAGATAATTTCTGTTATTAACACATTAAAAAACAAAACAAAGTGTATAACATTCTAGTTGATTCTAACTCATAATGACTTACAGTGATTCTGTAGGACAGAGCATGGGTTCCCAGTGTGGCACTGCAGGATCAGCAATGGACTGCCAACCTCAAGGTCGGCAGTTTAGACCCACCAGCTGCTCTTCAGAAACCCTATACAGGGTTGCTATGAGTCAGAACCAACTTGATGGCATTTAATAGCAACAACAACATAGGACAGACTAAATTTGCTCTATAGGGTTTCTAAGGTTGCAAATCTTTACAGAAGCAGACTGTCACATCTTTCTCCCTTGGAGCAGCTGGTGGGTTTGAAACACTGACCTTTTGTTTAGAAGCTGAGCACTTTATTAGAATAAAGAAATCATAAAATTAAACTGTTGTAATTTGAGGGAGGTGGTTCAAGCTCACCAGCTGCTCCTAGGAAACCCTATTCAGGGTCGCTATGGGTCGGAACTGACTCAACAGCACTTAACAACAACAACAATTTGAGTTAGAATTTAAATTTTTGCTCACAATTTGAATCTGTTGTACTCAAGGTATAAGTAAAATAGTAGAAATGCTGTTGTTCAGTCCATCAATGTGGTTCCGACCCATAACAACCCTATATAGCATTTTCGAGGAGCGGCTGGTGAGCTTGAACCGCTGACCCTAAGGTTCAAACTGTCTTTGTAGTCCAGTGTATTAACCCACAGCACCACACCAGGATTCCAATACTAGAAATAATAATAATAAATTCCCAGCCCTTGGGAAGTGATTAAGTATTTAAAGAATATAGTAATGTTTATTCTGTTCTTCTAAGTGTATTATACCCTTGTTATTAAGTGCCATTGAGTTGGTTCCTACTCAAAGTGACTCTATATTGGATTTCCAAAGAGTGACTGATAGGTTTGAACCACTGACCTGTGATTATCCTACCGTGCCAGACCAAGATTCCCCTTATTTTTGTTAAGTACTGAGGTGTTGGTTCCAACTCATAGCGACCCTGCACAGGGTTTCTGAGGCTGCAAATCTTGACGGGAGTAGAAAGCCTCATCTTTCTCCCATGGAACAGCTGGTAGTTTCGAACTGCATACCCTGAGGATAGCAGCCTGATTCGTAACCACTACGCTACCAGAGCTCCTTAGACTCCCCCCAAAACTTTACTGAGTCAGATACTATTATTTCCCTCATTTAACATTTGATGAAACTAAGACCCATAAAAGTTTAAGTAATTTGCCTAACATATAAAACTGGCAAGTAGCATAGCCAGGACTCAGACTCCAGCCATCTAGTACCATAGCTCTTGGTATGGCAAGTATGACATCTGCATTTTGCTGGTCTGTGACCAGCAGCAGCATTAGCATCACCTGAGAGCTTGTTAGGAATGAAGAATCTCAGGCTGCTGCCCAGATCTGAGTCAGATCCTGCATTTTAGCAGGATTCTTAGATGATAATCAAATTAAAGTTTGAGAAGTATTGCTTATAATACATTGTTGTTTTTGTTAAGTGCTGTAGAGTAGGTTCTAATTCATAGCCACCCTGTGTAGGATTTCCAAGGCTGCAACTCTTTAGGGGAGCAGAAAGTCTCATCTCTCTCCCATGGAGCTGCTGGTGGACTAGAACCTTCAAGCTTGTGGTTTGCAGTCCAGCAGTTTGCTTATCCTTTTCAATAAATACTAGGGTAAGTCAAAAAATATTGCTGCTAGTATTTCAATTCATACTTACCTGGGTTTATACCAAAGAAAGGGTGCTTAAACATGTTTCTACAATCAGTGGATAACTACAGACAAGTTCTCTCAAGAATACACTTGTCTTATTCTCATCAAAGTGCCTTCAAGAAAAAAGACACTTTTGTGCCAAGAAAAAAAAAAAAACAATTTTGAGGTCATCTTCCCAAATCATTGGAGCTTTGAAACAAGTTTACAGAATGCTGCCTCACATAAATAGTTATTAGTTAGATCAAATATTTTAAGGAAGGTTAGAAAGAACTTGAAGATGAGCCCAAACAGGGAAGATTGTAATCTCATTGAATGAAGACACTGTGGCTGAAGTCCAGCAACCGGTGGAAGAAAACTACAGAACTACCATTGATGTGATAGCTACTGAAGCTGGGATCTGACATGGTTTGGCATTTTCAATTTGAAGGGAGGGAGCATGTTGGCCTCAGAAGCTTTCTGTTGGATGGATCCCTAAAAGCATGGCAGGAAGAATTATAAGCTCAAAAATCAGATCTTTTTCTCCGTTCTTTTATGTGACATTCAGGCTAATGAAGATATTTTTCATAGAATTAATCCTTAACTGGGCATGAGTCTTGGCTATACCACTATGATCCAGAGTGAAAGGACCAGTCAAAACTGTGGCTACAAGGTGATGTGTTGGACCAGTTCAATTCACAGCAGAAGTCAGCTATGGTAACTGTTTTTTGGAATTCCAAAGGGGTGTAATCTTGATGGATTTTTTTCAAAGGACACAGAATGATTACCAGGGGTTAATACAAAGGATTTTTAAGAAAACTGGAAATTTCATTAGTGAGAAAAAGTTTGTGTCATGGAATTTTTTTCCATCACAACAAAGATGGCAGATCGGGTAGACATGCAGTGAGGAGCTCTGTCAGCAACAACACAAAATACTTGACCAAGCAGGTTCAGGGGATGGTGCCAGAACTCTGAACCACAAATAAAGGAGTATTTAGAAGATTGGAAGGCTTACAGCTAAGGGAATTTGTAGCAGAAGCAAGAAATCCATTGCTTTCTAATTCAAGATGCTCAGCTGCTCTTGGAGCCGCCATCTTGGGTGAGAACAAGTAGGGGAAGGATCAGGGCAGCTTCGAATGCCTGACAGAACCACGGAGATAAAAGGTGTGGACATTCTTTTTTTTTGTATCTGTTCACTGGTCTCTCATTGTCTGTGCACCTCTATTCTGGTGACTAGAGGGTGTGCCTGAACGAGTGGATATCCCACCCACAAAGGGTTCTACTATGCATGCGCACAGATCGCCTCAAAATTTAAAGTGACAGTTTCCACTTAAAACAAAACAGCAGTGCAAAACAACCACAGCCAGCCCTGAACTGTTTATCACTAGGAAAAAGGCCTGAACGGGGATTGTGGAGTGGGACAGGCCAAAAATTAAATATGAAATGAAATAGGCCAAAAAGTAAATCCTGAGTTACGTCACTATGAACAACAGTGGCATCTTGAAATTTCTCAGGAAGAAGAGTAAAAAAGGGAAGCCCATCTCCTAATCACATCTACCTGGAGGCAATTAGAAAGCATAAAAAATACCAAAATACACACCCATCTAAGTATTAAGTCCACAGATAACTCCTGAATATGACCCAAAACAGAAACAGATGACCATATCAGCACATGTCCAGAAATGAGATAAAGTGACTGAGGCAAATGAGCTGGAAGGAGACCTACACTCCAAACTGGAAGATGGGCAGACTTTGGAAATGCATGAGAAGGAGTTCAGAAAAATGATTAGAGAATGTATCAAAACACTATATAATGGAGCTGAGAAAAATAAGGAAGAAGTCAGGAAAGTGCTACAGGAACAATCAAATAAGATAGATACAGCATTGGAAACAATTGAAAACCTACAGAAAGAGGTTCAAATGATTAATAATAGAATATCAGAAATGGACAATACACTGAAAGGGCAAAGGAGTAGAATTGAAGAGATAGAAGCCAGAACTAGTAAGCTAGAAGATAAATCTCTCAACACTACTAAGATAGAAAGCAAGCAGAAAAAGGATTAAAATCTGAAGAAGGCCTAAGCTTCATGTTGGACAACATGAAGAGGAATACTTAAGAATTATTGACATTCCAGAACAGAAAGAATCACACAAGTCCACAGAGGAGGCAGTTGAAGAGCTGCTGGAAGAAAACTTCCCTAACATCCTGAAAAGTGCAAAGACAAGCATTCAAGAAGCTCAACGAGCCCCAGGAAAGATAGACCCTAAAAGACAATCACCAAGACATATAATCATTACTGATGTCCAATGGGTCTTGACTGAAAGCAGAAAATATCAGAGAGATGTTTACCTGTGTTTTATTGACTAAGCAAAGGCTTTCAATTGTGTGGATCATGACAAGCTATGGACAACACTGTGAAGTATGAGTATTCCGGAACACTTAATTGTGCTCATGAGGAATCTGTACCTGGAGCAAGAGGCAGCTGTTCAAACAGAACATGGGAACACTGAATGGTTTAAAATTAAAAAAGGTGTGTGACAAGGTTATATTCTTTCACCCTACTTATTCAACCTGTACGCTGAGCAAATCACCCGAGAAGCTGGATTCTATGAAGAAAAACATGGCATCAGGATTGGAGGAAGACTCAGTAACAACCTGTGATATGCAGATGATACAAGCTTGCTTGTTGAAAGTGAAGAGGACTTAAAACATTTACTGATGAAAATCAAAGAGCAAAGCCTTTGGTATGGATTACATCTCAATGTAAAGAAAACAAAAATCATCACCACTGGACCAATAAACAACATTCTTATCAACAGAGAAAAGACTGAAGTTGTCAAGGACTTCATTCTTCTTGGATCAACTATCAACACTCACGGGAGTAGCAGTCAAGAAACCAAACAACGCATTGTATTAGGAAAATGTGCTGCACAAGACCTTTTTAAAGTGCTGAAGAGCAAAGATTTCAGCTTGAGGACTAAAGTGTGCCTGACCCAAGCCATGGTATTTTTCAATAACCTCATATGCATGAGAAAGCTGGACAGTGAATAAGGAAGACCGGAGAAGAATTGATGCTTTTGAGTTATGGTGTTGGAGGAGAATATTGAAAGTGCCATGGGCTGCCAAAAGAACCAATAGATCCATTTTGGAAGAAGTGCAGCCAGAGTGCTCCTTGGAAGCCAGGATGGCCAAATTTCATCTTTTATACTTCAGACATAATGTCAGGAGGGAACAGTCTCTGGAGAAGGATATCATGTTTGGTAGGGTAGAGGGTCAGAGAAAAAGAGGATGACCCCCAACGAGATGGATTGGCCAAGTGGCAGCATCGATGGACTTAAGCGTGGAAACAGTAGTGTGGTTGGCCCAGGATCAGGCAGTGTTTCGTTCTGCTGTGCATAAGGTTGCTATGAGTTCGTACCGACTCAATGGCACCTAACAACAACAACAACTCATGTTCTGCTATTAAGGCAACAATTTTAAGACAGCCAATCCAGACTACCTTTATACTCTGACTTCCAAAGTTAAAACAACAAAGTATTTTATTTCAAAATACATTCTGTAATTTGATTGTGAGAAATGTAAATTACCTTAACTTCTATCATGAGTTTCATTTTGTCAGTATCTAATTTTCTCTTCAGTTGTTCAATTGCATGCTGTACTTCAGTTATCTGGATTATAAGATAATTCTGTATAAAATATAGATGTCTTTATTAGATGTAATAACTGTAGATTATTTTTTTGGCTGTCTTGCAAATGTAAAGGAGAAAGTAATAATAAATATCAAAAGAACAAATAATAAAAAATGAACTATTCTATAAAGAAAGTTACTGTTTTAGAATAAATTATTGTTTATATGTCCATTTCTTGCATGTTATGAACCTCTTTTTCTTCCATCCAGACCATTCCTCATTTACTATGAAAATATATATTTGTAAACATTTTTAATTGCCATCATAAAGGCCAACAATTATTACTACAAAAGGAATATGCTAGGTTTAAGATATTAATAAGACTTTAGAAATGGGCATAATGTTTCATGATCTGAGTTAGATTTATCTTAAAATATTTAATAACAAAACAATAAATATGTTTTATATAAGAAACTTGTTTAGTATAAAAATATAACCTAATTAATATAAGATATATTTTTAGCTACTTTAGTCCAGAAAAGTTTATGAGGTATAATGGGTTTTAGCAAAACAGTTACTTAAGAATTTAAAACTATTTTCGTGAAAATATAATAGTTTATATTCAACTTGATAAAACAAAATAAGTAAATATTACAATACATTTTGGACAAAAACCATGATTTGAACATATTTGGATTTTACATTAAGTTTATCTGAAATGGTAAACTTAATGTTTCTTCACATATAGTTAAATATTTACTCTTAATCACAGTTAACATTTTCAAAACCATCTTTGGATAGGAGAGGTTACTCTGTTATATGGCCTTTCAAATTGCTATGATAATTGTTTAATTATATGGAGAAGTTACTCAGTACTAGAATAAATTTACATCTCTGATGTGTGAAGGTTCAAGACTCCATCTCAAGAAAACAGGAATTGATTAAAATTTAATAAAATTTCTTAAGGATACCAATACTTTTAGATCTCATGGGTTTCATAAAAGCAAAACAAAAACCCCCCCAGCTATGTATTTGTGGTGACATACATTACTTATGTGGCATTTTGCCTTGGTGCTTTGGAAAAATAGCTCAAGATTTTCCCTTCTGAACTCTGAGCAGTTTACTTTTACCCTAATTTTCTTTGTCAGAGGGTTTGTTACTTAGGTTGATTGACATTTCCTGAGTAAGCTATAAACAACATAATGGTTTAATACTTTTTATCTGGATCTGAGCTACAGCCTGCCTTACAATTGGTCTATGTTATATACCTTGCAGGGATTGGTCAATAGTGTCGTCGAGTTGGTTCCGACCCATAGCGACCCTAAACAGGGTTTCCTAGGCTATAAATCTTTACAGGAGCAGAAAGCCTCATCTTTCTCCTGCGGAGCAGCTGGTAGTTTCGAACTGCTGACCTTGTGGTTCACAGCCTGATTCGTAACCACTACGCTACCAGAGCTCATATATATATATATATATATATATATATATGCAAATAAAGTTAGTATGGCCTATTATGCATCTGAAACAATTGTGGCCTACTGAGAGGGAATTGGTCAGCTTGTGGCCCTGGTGGAAGGGTCATGCCTTGAAGATGACCAGGAATTTGCTGATGTATGAAGACAATACCACAGAGGTTGGCAGACAGGAAGAGAAGGAAGAAAAAGCAAAACGGAGAAAAGGTAAATACTGTATGATCTAACTCATATAAAATAAGCAAAATTATAGAAATCAAACACTATTAGTGGTTACCAAGGGTAGAAAGGAGGGGATAAAGGAGAATTTTTGCCTAGGGGACCTTGAGTTTATGTTAAAGGTAGTAGAATGATTTGGAAAAGGATACTGAGAATGAATACACAAGTTGAAGATTCAGTGTCACTGAATTGTACTTGTAGAAATTGTTCAGATGGCATATACATTTTGTTATGTATATTTTTACCACAATTAAAAAAAATCCATTTGTGAAAAAAAAGAAAAAAGGCAAGAGAGAAGCAGTGAGCTGAGAGAAAAGGCTCCTAAAATAGCTGTAACACAGGTCACGGTCAAGACAGTGACAAGACCCAAAGGGGTCTGGTGGCAGAATTGATGGCAATGACAAAAACCTGCTGCTAGGTATGCAGTTAAAAGACCAGAACAAAACTGCTATGCTGAGGTGGGTCAGTTAGCAAGGAAGAGTTTGATGGCATGGAGACTGAAGGCTGAATGGAGGCATGGATAGACAAAAAGAAAAGTCTGTCCTGAGGGCGCCAAGAGGAGGTCTGTATGGCTGAGAAGGGGTTTGCACAGCAGAGATAAGGGCCTGCTTGTTTGGTGGTTGAGAGGAGCTGAGAGCTCATCTGTACTGAAAAAATGAGGGATGTGCTCTTCTCTTTGGGGGAGTATTCCAGAATTTGCCTACAAGCTTTCCAAATCGGGATCCTGACTTGTAGCCTGCTGATCCTGAACTCAAGTTCCACCGTGTTACTTCCTTAGTAAACTGCTTAACTATAAATATGGTGTGTGAGTTGTGTGTGGCCATCGCAATGGATTATTAAACCCAGCAGAACAGTAGAGAGTGCTGTGGAGAGAATGGCTGGTGTAGGTCAGAATTGGTACAAAAGGTTGGAAAGGGAAGGCATGTCTGACCTCTCTCTCGATCATAGGAAATCAGTTTTGTTCTGATTCTGATTCTCATCTCTACCCCAAAAGTTATAGGATTTCTGACACTACTACTTTACAGTAGACTCTATTAGCCCCCTGCCCTACTTCAAGTACTTGTATCTTTCTCATAGTATCAGAGAAAGTGACCCTATTTCCAGGTACAGAGTGAGAACATAGTGTAAGTACGTTATTACCTAACATTTGCTGGTAAATATTATTGATCTAGAACATAAACCTGGTTGGTCTCTCAGAAAGATAATGAGAAATTTTTATACATTTCACGATTCAGGAAGTGGTTTCTCTCTTCTCTTGGAGGCAAATACCTCTAATTGCCATTGACAGCTCTCTGATTACCATGGGAAAAATCAGGCTTAGAGTGAAGGCAACATTAAAAATAAGGAGGGGATATCAATAAGCATCTAGGTCCTTGGAGACCTCATTAAATTGCTGAATGAATCTCCTCAGCAACCTTGTTTAAGGTCAATAATTTTCTTGCTTTTTAAGCTAGCCTGTCAAGGGTTTACCTGTGGCCCAAAGCATCTAAAATGATAATACCATGTATTTTGAACAGAACTTTTTCAAAAGAAAGGGAACATATTTAGCAGTACCTTGGAGTCTGTAATATTTGCCAAATTCTTTGGTCTCATCTTGATTTCCCTAGCTTCAAGTTGCATGAGCAATTTTTTATAGTAAAGTTCCAAATCTTCTCGAAGTTTTGTTAAAACCGCCTCAAGTGATGCTGTGACTTTCTTTGTTTCTAAGTATTTTTTCTTCCAACCCTCACAGGCTACAGAAAAGCAAAGTTTGAGTTTGATTAAATCTTTTCATCCTAGAAGGAACTTTAGAGTCAATATAAATTTAAACTTTTTCCTTCCTTTTCTCCCTTAGATGCTTCATTGGAGCTAAAGGAGAAATACTTTTTGGATAACAAAAGACCTTGCCTCAAACTATTGTAAAATAGTGATAAATTCATGAACCACTACCAAGTTCTTTTTTAAGCATGGAACAGATTACTAAAAATCACTCCTGGTGTGGCGCTGTAGGATAAGCACTGGACTGCAAACCACAAAGTAGGCAGTTCAAACCCACCAGCTGCTCCTCAGAAATCCTATACAGGGTTACTGTGAGTCAGAATTGACTCAACAGCACTTAACAACAACCTATGACAAATTGTATACATGTTATTTTTATTACATTTTTTTCCAAATTTGATTTGAATTCATCATGTATATAATTAAAACTATAAAAGAAAAAGTCTATTTCTTTTTCATATGCTTTCCTGTACTTATACTGACTTATTTTTAAAAACCAACTGATTCTGATTCATTAGCTATCAAAATGATACTTACTAAATCTATCAAATTCCATAGGGCAGAGCTTCTCCCTGAGACTGTGCTGAGAAAATTAGACACCATTGCCATTTTAGGCAATCACCTTCACACCAATATGATTTGGAATACAAACTTAATAGGAACACAATATGCATGCTAGTATAGCAGAATATTATTTTATTCCTTTTATCACAGAAATGAAAATCTCAGTATAAAATCCTGTTTACAAATTTATGGACCTGTGAGCTCGTTTGAGTAAAACTACTTAAGTTTCTGTGTTCTTTTTTTAATAGACACAGAGTCTGTAAAAAAAAAAAAAAATGGAAATCTATATAAAAATGTATTATATACTATGAAAGCAACATTTTAATATTGTTTTGTTTTAAATTTTCTCGCAAACACCATCCCTTAGTCTAGTCATATTTTTTGTCTTTGTTGTGAAGAGAAAAGCAAATGTACACTAATTCAGTAATTTCTACATGCATAATTCAGTGACACTGCTTATATCCTACAGGTTGTGAAACCATTTTTCTGTATCATTTTCCAAATTATTCCACCACCATTAATATACACTCAGTGCCTTCTAAGAAAACTTTCCATTCTTCCCTCCCACCTGTGGTAACCACTAATAAATTTGGTTCCTATATATTACTTCTACCCCTCATCAGTTTGTAGTACTGTGGAGGCTTGTGTGTTGCTGTCACCCTGGAAACAATGACACTAGTATTTCAAATACCAATAGGGTCACCCAGGTGGACAAGTTTCAGTGGAACTTCTAGACTAAGACAGACTGGAAGAAAATGACTTGGTAATCTACTTCTAAAAAAATTGGCAACTAAAAACCTTATAAAAAAGAGCAGAACATTGTCTGGTATTGTGCCAGAAGACAAAACCCTCAGGTTGGGAGACATTCAAAATATGACTGTTGGGGACCTGCCTCCTCAAAGTAAAGTTGACCTTAAGGATGTGGATGGAGTAAAGCTTTTGGTGTGGCACGGTGGGTTAATGTGCAAGACTGCAAAGCCATTTGAATTGCAAGGTCAGCAGTTCAAGCTCACCAGCTGCTCCTTGGAAACCCTACACAGGATTGCTATGGGTCGGAACCAGCTTGATGGCACTTCACAACAACAAGCACTTGGCATGGTTCAAAATGAGAAGAAACAGCTACTCTTGAATGCAGAGTAGTTAAAAAAAATGAAAGACATGAGGAAGTAAAACAAGTTTCAAAAGGCTGCTTGAGATGAAAAAATAAAATATTATAATGAAATATGTAAAGATCTGGGGTTAGAGAGCCAAAAGTTAATGACATGCTCAGCATTCTTCAAACGGAAAGAACTGAAGAAAAAATTTAAGCATTAAGTTGCAATATTGAAGGATTCTATAGGCAAAATTTTAATCTGACAACCACATGGTTTACTATGCCAGGAATGACAAATTGATGAGAAATGGTGTTGCACTCATCATCAAAAAGAACATATGCAGATCAGGAATGAGGTACAATGCTGCCTGTGATAGGATAATATCCATGCGCCTATAGGGAAGCCCAGTTAATATCACTATTATTCAAATTTATGCACCAACCACTAAAGCCAGTGAGGATGAAATAAAAGAATTCTACCAACTTCTTCAA